CGAAGACGAAGAGGGCAGTGAAGTGTAGTGTAGTGATAGGATAGTGGCAGCCATAGCTGCCATAGCTATAGTAGCGTGCGTGTGTGTGTGTGTTGAATGTAGAGTGTTGCGTGTGGGACATCCAGGGTGATCCAGAGTGCGAACAGTGAGTTGTGTGGGCGCTCAGTCGCCATAGCCAGTTGAACAGAACTCCTACCTGGTTACGATATCTTGAGTACTGTGTGGGCGCATGTCGCCAGTTTGCTGTTCCGCTGTTTGCATGCGTGACAAGTGTGAAGAAGTCGAGTCTGATTGCACCATTTTCACACGTAAGATATTTGCAAGAACAGCAATCTTAGGTGCCATTCCTTTAACACAACTGGAAATCTTGACCATTTCTCAACAGCCCGTGTGTCTGTTCGGACGCACTGCAAGTCCGAAACGGCATCTGAAACAGACAAAAATAGCACAGCAAATAAAAAAATAAATAAATAAATGCTGCCTCAAATCGAGCCCTGCGGCCCAAAGGCTGGCCGTGGGCCTCCAGGTCGCATGCCGGAATGACGTGCGGCCTGGGGGCCCCCAGCAACCGTCGGGCCCCCGAAACGGGGCCCAGGTGCAGGCTCAGCGTGTAACAAGCAGTGTGTCATCTGACGATCTCAATGATGGTCACAAGCAGGTAAGTCTCAGTGACTCTCTCTCACTCTCTCTCTCTCTCTCTCTCTCTCTCTCTCTCTCTCTCTCTCTCTCTCTCTCTCTCTCTCTCTCTCTCTCGNCTCTCTCTCTCTCTCTCTCTCTCTCTCTCTCTCTCTCTCTCTCTCTCTCTCTCTCTCTCTCTCTCTCTCTCGTGCGCGCACACAAGCACGCCCACACAACCGTCTCGCCACCCAACCCCCAGGAAAGTGAAACACAGAACAAAAAGTGTGTGAGGACAAATCGCACACAGAAGAGCGCATTACTCCACGGTCCCAGCATTGGTGCGAAGCATCACCAACATAGGTGTTCTCAGAGGGGCTTTGAGGGGTTTCTTTTCACTACATGAGAACCCCTGAAGGGCAACCTTTGTGAACATTGTAATCCCGACATCTGGCTTTTCCGGTATCAGATATTGCAAAGCTTTTCTTTGAGCAAGTGTCAATGTGTTATTGCATGGAGCAAAACTCAATGCAACAGGAAGGGTTGGTTTTGCCTCTTTGAGTCTTTTTGACGCTTTCACACCTGTATACTCCCATGGAGAGGTGCACTGTCACCACCCAGTCAGCGTTGCGGAATTGATTGGTGGATTTTTGAACTGGCAGAATGTAAGGAAACAGCACCTGGACGACTTGGGGGGGAAGCAAGGGAACACATGAGTAGTCTAGTACACATGCAACGAAAGTGCGGACGACTTGGGCGGGAAGGAAGCGACCACACTAATAGCTGTAAGCAAGTTCAAATGAATGGATCAGGGATTGCAGGACATGTCTTCTTTAGCGATGGATTAAGGAGTGATGTCTGTTTACCTTTGCTTTTAAGACTCATCACGGATGTTTGGTCGCACAGTTTTCAACGTGAAGTGATTCGCAAATGCAAACAACGGAAGCCGTCAGGCGATGCGAAGTCGGGCACAAACACATGCATGACCTGCATTCACGCACCCGATCACACATGCCTGATCAGGAAAGTCGATCTCAAAACCGCAAATCGTCAAATCACACCTCACCTCAGCAATATCATCTCATTGCCATAGGAGTTCATTGTAGCACAGAAGCTATCACTATGTCCTTGGTTCCATTTCATGACAATATATACCAGGCACAATGTGGGCCAAATGCATGATGGCCCCTGCATTCACACACCCCGTCAGCGGCACTTTACAAAAGCTGATCTCTAAAAAAATCCAAACCATAGCAAAACATACTACGAAAAACAAAGAACAGGGCATACTCACACCTTCCCCCGAATACAACATACGGTCATTACAGCTGTATTTAGACTGAATGATACCCCAAATTCAGCAATGATGACAGTACGTTGCACTCGGGGAAAGACTGTAGCACTTTATTACTTATTTCGGGACAGAATTGCGGCCAGATGCATACAGGTCTGGCCACAAATGCAGTCGGATACATTTGCGATGGTGCTAGTGTGAGCACACCCATAGTCTGTCATCGTTTCACTTCCTTCCAATATCCGTTGAATGAACTTTCATACCAATACATCAGGAAAAAGAAAAGTAAAGAAAACACACTTTCATGTAGAAGATAACGACCAGTGGGCTTCTGCGGGACCCCAGGAGGGGTCGTGGAGGCAGGGAACGGGATTGCGTTGACTTCATGCGACCCCAGGAGCCCACGCGGATCACGTCAAGCACATAATGTGCGAAATCATGAACTCGGCAACCCTGCAGTCACCCGAGCATTTCGAGCTCACCAGTGAACGCTGAGTGTTGGGCGCACCCTGCTTCCCATGCGATGTGCCCAACCAAGAGCTTATCAGGTAACGACATTCCTTGACAGAGACCCTCGGGCCAATCCTATGTGGTTGGGGTTATCCTGGCCACTGTGCCATTTGCATTATGATGTCTGCTTGTCTGCAATGTTTTTCTGGTCGTAAAAAAACTGTCTGGAGCATTATTGGTTGCGCTATACTGGCCGTCATGCCATTGTCCATATGGCTGAGGGCGTCCTCACTATAACTCTATCTTAAATGTCTCTAACTGATTCTGACGGCATTTACCTCCGTACCGGGATCCATCTGACCGCAATTGCATCCAAATTCCATTAATAAGTAACACAGTCCAAGTGTGGGTATATGCCCTGACCGGTTCACCCTATGTAACTAACCATAGCACCATCAGAGATGCTCAGTATAAGGGACTGGTCCATTGCGCGTGCTCAGTCCTGGGATCAGACATCGGCTGAACATTGGGGGGGGGATACAAAACGGACCATGTCTCAATTTGTGCGCAATCTAAGTTCTGTCTAGAAATTCCCATATTGAGGTGTTTATGGGCCTCACTCCAGTACTCAGCACTCTACGTGCATTTGTGCGCTTTTTGGACCAGGTGCACGCGGACAGGGCCTCAGTCCAGTACTCAACATTCTACATGCATTTGGAATTTTGGACGCTTTTTGGACCAGGCACACTAAGTCCAACATTTCAAACGTATCAGGACAATTGTGAGCTCCAGATACATATAGTGTTGCGTGATGGAGTGAGGCCCTATGTTTGAGCTATGTCCTAAGTAGCGCTTAAAGAACACATCGCCGAGCTGTCAGCGTCGAGATTATTTTTTGAGTCTACTTCAACTTACAAAGACAGTAGGAACCTATGTTATGAGGAGATGCTTAACTCGAAGGTTAGGCCCCACTGAAAATCTGCTCATGCTGAGAAAGCATGAACCTGACTTACAAAGTCTCCCATATTCCAAAAAAAAAAAAAAAAAAAAAAA